TGTAAGGTTTTAAATTTGAGAGGGGGAAGAGTGCAGCCAAGACAAAATCAAGGGGCCATGTCTTATTTTCCAGATGAAGCAAGTGTTCTTTGCTTCCATCACACCATAATTAGAAACTTACATCTTATTTCAATCAAAATTCAAAGCACAGATACTTATGCTTCCAAAATACAAATTTATAGAACAATTCAAAATAAACATACCGTGTGAATATTAAGTTATCAAGCCACGGCATTTCAAGATGAGATTGGTAATTCAAAATTTGCTACTCCAAATTCAAGGTTTCACAAACAAGCAGTCAGGGTCTTGTATCACTTCATGGCACAACATCTACAACTGCACTTAACTGTAGGAGTAGAGGTAGATAGCTTGGTAGCTGGAGGTCAAACACCTAGTCCTTTGGTTTTATGGAACTACTGAGGCTAACAAACATAAGGTGGTGGCTTGAAATAATTAAGAATCAGGGTTGATGTGGTAGTAATATAATGCTAGTTGTTCATTGCAGAGGTACAATCATAAATGTAGTCCATACCATAACATGGAGGTGGAAAATGACAAAGTAAATATAAGAATTAACATCATTGTGTGATGTATTTCTAAATATTACCCATAAAATAAAAAGCATGAAGCACTAGTTAAAGTTTTATCTAAAAAATAAACTTTTATCAATTGACGCTATAGAAATAACAAAAATATTCGTCAATTCTATACTTTGAAGTTTCATAATATTTTCTTAATATAAGGTACAAATGGCAAAGATTCAAGTGCCAACTATGAAACTGCCTGAACAAAGCACACAACAGTGAAGAGCTGACGAAAAGTTGCATTTTGGCCCAACTCATCCAGCCAGAGACTTAGGCATCAGATTTCAGGTAGCATGTGGCAAAAGTCTTATGGCACGTAGAGATGTGCAAAAGTCGATTAAAATTGACCAAATTTAAGTTGGTTAATTCGGTTAAAATGGCTAACTTGGTTAAGGGAGTCAATTCAGTTAAGTCAATTTGATTTGGTTAAAAATTTAAGACAACTTGCTTTGCTTACATTTGCAATTATTTGTCCATTATATTTTAATATAACAGTGTGTATATTAATTACCCACACCAAGCTTGATCTTAAAAGAATTATATGGTCCTCTAATAACAAACATGTAATTCATCTGAAAAAAACTTGAATGGCCTTCCTTGACATATAGATACACCCTTGATATATAGAAGTCTAATTGACTTTGTCGCTATAAAAGAAATTTTGTTGTCCACTACTAGTACTACTACTACTATTGATAAGTGAGGAATGAAAAAGTAATAAAGAAATTAAAGACCAAGAATACCCTAAATTCAAACAATGTTAATCTTTTGTTTAATTTTTGAAAATTACAAATTTGATGAAAAGGGGTGTACATACTTTCATCAATCATTATAACAACTTGAAAAATTAAGAACTTCAAATGATAGTTTTGGTCTTTCATTTGGAAAAATAGGCTTGAAAAAATGAAAATAAGAAAAATGGGCTTGGAGCATTCAAGCTGAATGTTGGCCCCCCTTGACAATAACTTGAAAACTATTTAAAATAATTCATATATTATTTTAACCATTAGAATGTTGGCTCCCCTTGACAATAAATCCTGGCTCCATTTGTGTACATGGGCAAGCTGACACTATATCTCACAAGGAGGTTTGAAGCCTGGTGTAGTGCAAATACAGCATGAAACAAATTTCAAGAGCTTTTGGGTGGGATCCTTTTATCTTAAACAATCCTAAATTATAAGCATGTGAGAGTAACTCCTGATGACAAGAACATATAACAAATTATAACCGAGGAAGAATAGAGAAATCACCTCAAATCCTCAGAGGCTTGCGTTAGACTTCTGGTCAAATTCTCAATCTCCTTAAGTAGACCACTATCACGAAACTCAGATAACAAAGGTTGAACATCTTCGGCCATGGCTTCAATCTGAAACATCACTACATCAATTCAAAATTCTGAGCATGAGAATCCATTAAAACTTCAGTTTGAAATGTTTTCCACTCAGTTAGAGAGCAGGGAAACACAGAAATATACAAGGAAATCAAACAATGATTTCGACCAATTTCCAAGATCTAATTCAAGAAGGAAATTCCAAAACAACAGAATCATAAATTCCAAACAACGGTCTCCACGTGAAATCATAATATGATCTGAAAACTTATCCATTTTTTCTAGTTTTTTCTACAGGGGAGTGGCCTGGTCAAGCAAATAGTAAGAAAGTTCTTTGTTTACAATTAACTCCATCCTAATAGGTTTTAATGCTAACATAACAATGTTAAGCTAATATTTTGCCTTTTGTTTCTGATCCCTTCCCGACCAACACAACTCACCAAAAAATTATTAATGTAGCAGATACCATTCACTTCGTTTTTGGCTTAATAGTTCAGCAATACAGATTAGAAAAAGAAATCTCAACAATAACACATAAAATGTAATAGGGCATACCACACCTTTGTGAGCAGGGGCTTTGCATCCTGAATAACAGCAGCAACCCGTTCAGCAAGTGAATAGGTGTTGACAATACCAATTTCCTCCATTTGACGAGCAAGACGGGTGACTATCCCCACCAATGCATCCAAACTTACCCCTTGTTCTCCCTTTATCTTTTGCCTATCACATACAATTAGGCCTTCCTTAAGACAGTCTGGGTTGAGAGGTCCCACTGAAGGTGATGGGATTGGATCCCGTGGCATGATGTCAATCAAAGTTTCCATCAGAAGACCAGATTGGTTCACCTCAATCAGTGAATTTCGAGGTATAATAATCTTATCATCTTCGACCTATGAATTGGCAGCAATGTTGGTGCATATACAAATTAAAACAAAATATTACAGCAAAATCATTATATTGAAATATACCTCAACAACTGCTTCTATACTTTTCAAGGAGGGATTAACACGAACAACATTGCCTATAGTCACTCCTCTAATCCTTACAGGTGTTCCAGTGCAAATACCAGATGCCTGAGCAAATTCAAACACTGCCAGATACTTCCGGAACTTAGAACGTATCTGAAACCCCCTCAACCAAGCAAGACTAAGTGCAAGAAGCACTGTACCTGACACAAGAAACAACCCAACCCCACCTTCCCAAATGCTTCTACGACCAAAGCCAAAATCACTAAGAGGACGCAACGTTTGCCTCCAAATATTCCGAGGAACATCTAAAACAACTGCAAGTGGATTCTTTTGCTCTGAAGAAGCAGGTGGTGGGGTATGCTCAGTATTAGCAGACATAGCTCTAACTTTTGCCAACCTTGTTCTTGGTTTTGGTGGCAGATATGGCAAAGTTTTCAAAGAAGAATGTGGGATGGTGCTCAAAGTGGAAGATAGGAAAGAGGGGCATGTTGAAATCTTGACAAACGTATTTCCGACCATTTTTGCAAAATTTGAAGCTAAAGGCTATGAATACTACGCAGTCCAATATGCAATCAATACTTGAGCTAAATTCAGAAAGAAACAAAACAAATTCTCTCTAAATCTTCAGCGGGTAAGACTTCCATTTAACTGAAAAGACAACACAAATGAAATTCCATCAGATAAAAGAAAAATCCATTTCTTTGAATAAAACAAAGATGCACTTACATTAAATATTTAAAATACCATCAATTACGCTGGAAAAAAAAAAGAAAATCTGGCCAGTGACTATTAAAAGTTGCATTAAACTCCACTTCAATTAAAAAAAAATTAAGAAGGAAAAACGTAGCTTGGAGTTGAAAGAAACAACTCAAGTTTCTATTTTATTCAATTCAATGTGGTTTAACGGGAAAAAAAAGTAAAGAAATCCAAAAAAGTGAAAATATTAAAATCCTAAGTATTGAAAAGAAAATTCATCAATTTTCTTCGACAGTACAATTACGAGCCACTATACGTGTAGTTCATGTCAACTCAGTTCACTAATACTAACCTAACATTTCACAGAGAGAAGCAAAAGAAAAGTTAAATTTTAAACATTCAGTTGAAATTTCTTTCATATTCTTGAAAATTTTCTCTGTAACCAAACAGCTTAGGAAAAGATTAAGGCTTCTTGAGTAATGAGTGAGTACCTTCCGGAGCTGACTAGGGTTTTTCCCTTCACGAATCGGAGGCAGCAACCCCGACATTTTGTTGGAAATGAAAAAGCACAAAAGAAGTTTGAGAAATTTCAACGTTTTTAATTTTTTTCTAAATAATAAAAAAGGAAAAAAGGCAATGTCACTAATCAGTCCTCGTTTCTTTGGCTTTTATGAAATTTCGGGGGTAAATTCGTAATAAACAGTATTAATAAGCACAAGCAAAATGTTATATGCTGTACTACTATTCGACCGTTCTACATTTGGGTTAGAGATTTTCATGGGTCGGGTTTGAGCAGGAAATTTGGGGCCCGGCCAGCCATGATTATTATAAAAATTAATAAAAAATTAAAATTAAAATTTTATTTTTATTTAAATTTAAATTTAAAATTATTTAAAATGTTAAATATAAAAATATTTGTACTATGTTAATGATAAAAATAATTTAAATGAATGTTTTAAGTGTCTATTAAGGCCCACCCAGTTCGACTCATCAACACCTTTAATTAGAGTATGAATATGGAGTAGGCCATTTTTCAATTTTCAGCACTGGATTATATTCTTATTTAATTAACAATGAAAGATTTGAAAAGAAAATTACCTAAAATAGGAGGAAACATATTGAAGTTTACAAATACTTGTAATAAAAATTTTATGAAACTTTGATTTCCGACTTTTCTTATTATGACCATTTTTCAGACTAAACAAAGTTATAAAACAATAAAAAATAAGAAAAGAATGATTATTCCATTCCCCCAATTAAACCTATTGATTTGATAAATCAGCAAACAACCGTTTGAATACCAAATTTAATGATTTTCTTAGAATAACATATTGTCATTTATATAATATTATCTCATATTCCTATATCAGTTTTTGAATTAAAAAAATATGACTTGTTCATGCTTATTACTCTTCCATCCAAGCAATTCAAAGAGGGTCAGAAAATATATTTAGTAATCATACAGCTACAACCCCAGACTAAAGATGTCAAGAGGCTAATAATCAGAACTCATGTTCTCATAGAAACAGAAAATAAGAGAAACAAACGCACAAAATACATTCATTAACCGTCAAAAAGTGCAAATCATCCTAACATCCATAAAAACACCATATAAATATCCCTTACAGAAACTTTTGACTGTTGCAAAATGGCATGGAATTCAATAAACCAAAAATCAAAATCTAGCTTTCATGGCCTAGCAGTAATTGGGTGACAGACTTGGTGAAGCCATATTTTCACAGGTCTTGGACGCTCAAACCTGCAAACATGAAACGAATGAGGAATTTAGTCAATACCAAAAACCTTAGGATGTTACAAACATGATAAGACAGAAGAACAGTAGGGTCACTAGTAACGATGTTGGTGTAACAATAATGAGGGAATAGTTTGTTTTGGCCACATATCTAGCATCAAATTACTATACATTGTGTTTGTCCATTTCAAATAAGGATGCTGGTTTGATCAAAAAAATAAAAGTAGGCTCCTCCATCATGAATGATTTTACCTGGAGGAAGAGACTGCTTCAACTTGTCAGCCTTCTCAGCATCAGATACACAAAGTGTGTACAAGTACTTGGAGCAGCGGACCTTGAACTTGACAACATCTTTGCTCTTCTTGATTTTTACGGAGCGCGCATCTTTCCTTCTGGCAGTGAGAAGGAAGTCCTTGATCTCGTGAATTTGCTTAGGCTGTGCACCACAACATTAAAAACATTCATTTAACATAGAAACTTAGAAAATAGAGAAGAAATCGCAACCATACAAGCTGAAAAGGTGACACCGCCAAGCCAATATACAACTCAAAGAGCAAGTACAACACATATTGCAACTAAAGGATTCTGAAAACTGCACACATATTCTATAACAAAGAAAACAAATCATAAATTAACAAGGATGCAATAAAAATATATCCAAATATTTCAACTTCTCCTGGCTACAAACACACTTCATTAACCCCGAACAGCTATTCCATTAAAAGGTTTTCTCATTATTTTGAGTAACACGTTGACAATGAAATCCCAACATAAATTGACATAAGACAATTGATTATATTATATATCATCCCAAATTCCTAAGATGCACCAACTCATTGGAGCAAATGACAAGAAAGCATTCAATAGCAAAAGAGTGAGTCATGATAAAAGGCAAACAACTTATCAGATAATTAAAATTTTTGTAGCTATCAGAGCACATTCGGAATCTGAAAAATTTTAACACAAAAAAAAAATCTAATTAACATATTAAGTTCCCGCAACACACCCCATCTAAACATCTTTGCTATAATGTGATTAAAATGTTTTGTAGACGCACCAGAATTAAACAGACTACATGAACAATATTCAGATATATACGGAAAGAACTACTTATCACAATCTCTAGAACTCTTACAACAAAGCCCAAACCCTTATTTTTATTTTCTCCTTTTAAAGTACATAATCCAAACTCACTCACAGCTATCTTTACAATCACCATTTAGAGTTTAAACCCAACCTCACTAAGAAAGAAAAATGAGAAAACTGTTACAAGGAAGCCAAAAACAAAATAATAAAAGCAATTCCAGGTAAAAGAAACACATAAACAAAGATCTAAAGCATAAATAATCCTCACTAGGAGGCACAGAACATGAAAACGAAAACAACTTCAGAGATCTAAAGAGGTCACTGAAGAAACCAAATGCGTTTTACCATTTTTGTTTGACGTATTTTGGAGAGCTTCTTCACTCTGCAGAAACGGCACGCTCCAAACCCTGGTTTATAGGGTTATTGGATTATATAGAGGCAGATAACAAAACCCTAATGAATTTCCCCCACATTGCCCGTTTTATCCTCGATCAATTGCCTATATAACGTTAGTGTCCTATTCCCCCCCGGACCTGGATCTGAATGGATCCATTCATTACTATTTCGATCAGCGCGGTTCTAATATTGAGCCTATTGGGCCATATCGTAGTGATTATTTGAAGCAAAGACGATAATGGGTTCAATTCAAACAAGGGAAAATTGGGCCTAGGAACTAAGGCCTTGATACTGAGAATTAGGTTTGGGCTAAATTCATTTACAAAAATAATTGTCAATATCAATTATAATTGGGAATATAGGATCAGCACTTGCAATGCGTTTTGATGGAATCCTTGATTTCCTATTATACTGAGAGAAGGAATGAAAGAAAAAAAAAATATACCTATATCTACATATATTGTTTTTGACAAAAATATATTTATTTTTTTAAATTTACATGGTAGCTATATTTTATTCATGTGTGCAAGTTGAGATGGTCTCATCAAGTGTGATGTCGTTATATTTGGTTATCTTTTATATTTTTATTAATTAAAAGATATGCTGATGATTTTTTTCTGATATAATGGTTTGAATTAAGTTAATATACGAAATTAAAATTCGGATATCACAATAAACCTTCTTTAATACAAATATTACAGTAAGTATTTTTTTTAAATATAGGAACCAAATAGGATATTATCTTTGCGAACAAATAATACCACTACCAATCACTACCGTTAGTGCTCTAACGAAAAGGAAAAAGAATCCAATTCCCTTTTTTTTTTTTGGCTTACAAACAAGTAAAAACCATGCTTCTATGTGGTTTTGTATGATATCGCGAAACCAATGACATGCACAGTAACCAAGTGTTCACATAATTAAGCTTGCATCGACTGAGTCAAATTGATGGGGGAGCAAACAGAGGAATCCTTCAACAGACGCCTGGCCCATAGGAAATGCATGCTTTCACTGGGGTGGAATGGATCAAAGAATACACGACTCTTTCTATCTTCGCATGGTGCAACATTTTGAGCGCAAGGAAGAATCCTAGCCCCGTTCCTATCTAAGCAACAAGAAGTGTTTACATCCTTAACTCCTGCATACAAAATTATACAAATAGAGTTTGTCAGCTATATACCAAAAAAATAAAAATCAAAGACATAGTTTTCACTATTTGTGCTCAGTTTTCAGGGATGAGAGAGTTTGATCCAGCTTTATTTTCTTTCGCTCAAGTTCAATTTATAAAATAATCGAGTAGACTTAGCCCAATTCAATTAACTTAAAGAATTTAATTTTAAAATTTAAATAAAACTTAAATGTCACTTGAATCGGGTATTATTACAAAATTCGAACTTGACTCAAATTATTGTTTTAACTTGGTTCGACAACAAATGAATTGAGCTTAAGTATTGTTAAGAATCAATAAAGAATAGTTCTCAAAAGTAACTTAACTCATTTACATTTTTAATCATTCTAAATAATTTTTACTTACCATATGATGCATAGACATCTTGAAAAATCTTGTAAAGGTCTTCAAGAACGAACTTAGATCCTGAAAGAGTAGATTGCCACTTTGTTAACGAATTGGAAAGAAGCTTGTTGTATATATATATATATATGCTCATTCACTTCTTCGACACATGATGTTATGTGGTTTTTTATATTTATGTTAAATGGTTGGCACCCTAACGGAGATACGTTATTCACCAAAAATTTGCGAGCATCTAGCTTATATAATCTCTGCATTAAAAACAAATTCAAAAGTTTTACATGTGATTTAGCATTATGATTCACATTTTAATAATAAAAAATAGTAAAGTATCCGATAATTTGATTATCTAGAGATACTCTTAAAAAAAATTCATAAAATTGTTATGTTCATACTATTTGTGTGTAGTTGAATAATTAAAAATTAAATAAAAGAGCATTACTTTTTTAAGAATTTGATGAATACTTTAAATATTTACCTGCAATTGCTTAAAAAGCTCTTCAACAATCATTTCAGTATATTTATCTGGAGAGTCTTTCGGTGTTGTAGTTTCATAGGTAAGCCCTAAGTCATTGCTCGCAATATGGATTAAAAAAAACAGACTTGGAGAGGTATTCAGTGAAACTTTCTGTGTTGCTAAATGAACTCTTCAAATCCTTCAAGGTTGTGTTCTCAAACAAGTCTACTTGTTGGAAGAAGTTGAGCACATTCATGTGCTATATGGTGTAGGAAAATTTGCAAAATGCTATATAGTTGGTGAACTCATCAAGTGAATATAGGAAAATTTGATACTTATCATAACTATATGGTTAATTTTCACCAAGTAAAACATTTTAATTGAATTTGGGTACTTTTTTTATTACAAATTTTCTTAAACCTATTATAATTGATAGAATCATATTGTCAAGACTAAAATTAAATGCAATTTAAACAAGATGAATAAAACCATCTATAAAATTATATTAATGTATCAAGGTATTTTACCATAGAGCGTCCATTTTCAGAAAGAATCCCAGAAGAACCAGAGGCATAGTTCACACCAGTCCGAGTTATTTTCCTGTCTGCCTCAGACATACCCAAAATTGGTGGCGGGTATTGAAAACCATCCAATGTAGCTGCATTATTAAATATAGAAAACAATTTAGTTAATATTACATTTCACGTCCAAAGTTTTTGCTATAGTGGATATTTATATAATAAATAATGAAGGTTTATTAGAAAATGGATTCTTACCTAATAAATCATTGCTCAGATTAAAAGAAATGCAAGATATGAAGTCAGAAGGAATGAAGAATTCTCTATGCTAGGGTGCATGTTTAAAGAATAAAATTTTAGAAACTTATTCCCAAAACATCGAAATAATATGATATTATTTTAAACTAGGTACTAATATATATATATATATTGAAAATAATAGTAAATGGTGTTAAAGTTTTTGTCATACGAATGAAATCTACTACGGTTCTACCATTGGTGGCACGACCAGTAGGTTTTCCATCAAAATCAATTCCAAATGGTAGATAATTTGCTACAGCAGACTGGGGCAAAAAATTGTTGTTTCCATCGTCCACGCAGGAGTCTCCAAATATATAAAGAGCTGGCAAATCAATTTTGATATCCCCAAGGGACAGATATTGCAAAAGAGACCGTTGGTTAATGTTGAATGGTGGTACTTCAAGAACATCTCCAACACCATATGAGAATAGTTGTAATAAATGAAAGAAGATGAAAACACAAACATAGATAGGGCAACCAAGCTTAGCCATGATTATAGCTCAAAACTATGAAAAGAAACAAGTTTCCCACTTTGCTATATTGAAATGATAGGTTAACTTGGATTTTGTGTAGATTTATGTGATTTTTTGTGGATATTTAATGCTAAATTTTAGGATAGTTAAAAATCGTAAATATAACAAGTTTTGTTTTGAAACAAATTTGTAAATCAAAGTATTAATGATCAAAAGAGTTATTCAAAATATTTCTGAAGTTAAGTCCAGTCTTATGGCATAGAAAATGAGCTTGTGTCATATTAAAGAGTAAGAATTTGTGTGACTTTTACACTCCCACCAAAAAAAATAAATAAATCATATAGTTTATCAGGTTTAAGCAATAGAAAACAATTTGATGTATTGCACCTTTTTATAGGATACTAAAAAGGCAAAATGCTCTGTGTTCTACCTCATTATACAAAATTAAATGTACACTTTCTAAAATGATAAAAGTATAATGCAAGAGAATTTTTTTTTTGTATATTTTGCACTTTTACTTTTTAAAAATTACCCAAAGGGTAACTTTAAAGAAATCCATAGTAAGATGCTAAGAGGTAAGATGGTAGAAATAGTTGGCTTTTGTTTCTACAATATAACAATAAATTATTTTAGAGTTAAATTTATAAAAAATAAATGTTGTTAACTTATGTAAAACACATTTCTTGTATGATAAAGTAGTAATTCAAACTGGGCTAAGCTTGTGAGCTTGGGCAGGCCCCAGATCTATGGACAACTTTACATCAGTACTCAAATATATAAAAAAAAATGAATAAAACTAATGGTTATAAATAAACTTAAACTTTTAATAAATCAATGTAATATTAAATCACTTATGCCTAAGTCAAACTGAATATATTATGATATATTTTGAAATTGACAAGACACCATACATAGTTCCTCTACTTTTGATAGGGTAAATCTAAAGGTTTCTCTTCTTTTCTCTCTTTTTTTTTTTTGTTCAAATTTCTCATCTTTCCTTTGATATAGATGTCGGCCTGTTTAGGCATATTTGAAATAGGCTTATCTCCTTGGCATTGACTTGTTATCCCTCACAAAGTCTTCAATCATTTGCAAACTTTTGTGTGAAGAAGAAGGTAATATTTGCAAAAAAAAAAAAAAAAAGAATCCATAATTGGCGAAATGATGAGCAAAGTATCATAGAAATGATGAACAGCAAAGGTCTTATCTAAATCTAGAAAAGTTGTTTTCCACTACTTAATGTTGGACTAAAGTGAGAACACCAGAATGGTAACTAAAGGCAAATATGCTGTTCAAGTCACTAGACACAAAGGCAAACATGGGATTTGGTTGGTATTCTTATGTTTGCCACCAAGGTCTCTTCTTGGCCCCCTCCTTTTTCTTTATGTCAATTTTTTTCCCCTTTATGTGATATACTCATCATCTTTATACAAGCACTTCTTTGGTTTAACATTAATTTCCAATAGGTTAATATTGAGTTAATTTGTTGATTGCAAACCTTTGGCTATATATCTTCTAATAATTCAATGGTTTAAATTTATTAACATCAAGTTTAATAAATTATCATCAATTATCTAGACTTTCCAATACATCAATTATCATTGTTCGCATGTTTTCCCCTCCACCAGTTAAGTTTTTTTTGTTTCTAAAAAACAATTAATACATTTTAATTACAATGTAATTTTATAATCTATATTTTTTATACACGCTAAGATATGTATATTCATATAAATATATATGCATTTATATAACGTATATGTATTTAAAAAAATAAGATATATAGATAGATAGATACGGGGTTTGCTCTCTATTTGTCTTTGAAAAACCATCCAACCTATATCATAAGGGACAGGCGATGGCAAAAACATGTTGGGATGACGATTTTTCCTATTGTTAATACAAGGAAGAGAGGGAAGTGGAAATAATCTATATCTGAATATTTGGCTTCATTGCGTGTATATATTAAAGAGTTGGGTTTCAATTTCTTCCCTTAGAAAGAAAATACAGTTGAAAAACTTAGTCTAATGGCTTGATGTACCATGTACGTTACCAATTAAGAAATGGGATAGGTGGGAATAATTAATTGTTTATCAATTGAATTGAAAACTGATAACTAAGTGCAGGTTGATATTAGTGGGTAGCGGTGCAGGCTTAATTACACAAGCTGATTCTTTTTTTTTTCCTTCTGAAAGGCCACAAGCGGATTGGATTCGACTCAGAAGAATATACTCAAAATCAACTTGTTTATTCTCAACTTGACCTTTCCTTATCAATAATTTGAATAGTAAAATGACTCAACCTTGAGAGTGTTTTAATATTCGAGCTCAAACTTTGTCGACTTTTTTTGTCTTTTAAGCATATTTAGAGTGAAATTCAACTATAACATATAAACCAAAGTCTCAGATTGCCATTGAGTTTGAGCTTGAGGTTGGTTTTTTTTTTTTTTAAATAGTATTGTTATAAATCTATAGCTTGACTGCATTCTATTAGAGTACCCTAGTCATGTAAATATATATAAGAGGCTGGAAATCTATTTCCCCACCTAATTTGGTAAGTTATTTTCAATGAAATAATTAATGATATAAAACCTAAAATTTAGGAGTAATTAATTAATTGCATCATAAGTCATGATTATCTCATAATGTTTCATTTTCATTCTTGACTTAATAAGTAATTTTTTTCGTTCAACACTTTTTAATTTATTTTAAATCCATCTGTTCATTAACATGTCATTCAAAAAATGAATAAAATTTTTCATGTTGTGCTCGGAGGGTATAAATTTTGTCTGTATTCTAATGATGATTATGCTTATGATCATCTAAAACCGATATATTATATTTATGATTATTTGAAATAGATATAAATATATACATAAATATATTATGCTTATTGTCACTCAAAACCTATATCCGTAACAAAAATTCATTTCAAATTGTTATTATGTTATAATACATAAACATATTATGTTTATGTATTGTGATAACATTTTATTATTCCTTTTAACACTTTTATCACAATTTTTTATCCCAATTGTCATGGTAATTGGCAAGAGTTTATTGGTTTTGAATATGCATTTACTAATTACTTGACTTTCTTATAAATTGATAAATTTTACATTTAAATTTATCTAATAAATCTGTCAAATCTAATAAGATAAGAAAAAATTATGACAAATATATATTAAGGGCAAAGTAACATTACCCAACAATAGAGGCATATTCTAAAGCGCAAAAACTGACTAATAAACAGCCCAAAAACAAGATGTTAATCATTCCTGCCAAAAGCATTAAGAATATATGTTTTTCAATAATTAGCTTTCAATTCTCACTTTAAGTGGATTTTCTTTAACTTTATACTTTGTTCATTTTGGTGACTAACCAATTGTTGGTTTTCTTCTCTTCAATGTGCTAATTCGATATTTATATGATGATGGTTATATTTGATTGTGATTATAATATACATTTTTCTCATTTCAAAAAATTTTGTACACTGAAGGCTGATAAATTGCTTTCATGTACCAATATTCCATAATAAAACTTCAAAATTTTCTGTTAATTTCCTTGATTTGCAGCCAACTTCAATTACATGATTAGTTAATGCTAAAGAATTGCTCAGCCTTATATAAGGTCTAGTAATTCCTAGGTTTAAATACCATATAAAAGAATGCATGACCCTTAATCTCGAAGCAGAAATTCTCATTTTTCTTCTTTGGGCTTTCCCCCCCACCCTGTCTCTCCCCAAAAGAGGGAGAAAGGGAGTAGGATGAGAATGAGATTGGCATGCAACAAATGCTAAATCTATTTGTGCAATGGGTGTGGAAATGGGGATGATAGAAATAGTCCATAAAAGCCCTCTATATAGGAAAGAAATTAATTGGGATGATATAGATATGGCTCATATTAATTTCACCAATATATAAAGATATATATGTAAGTATTTTTTCTTGCAAAATCTGAGGAGAAAGGGATGAAGAGGAAGGAAAGACAGGGAGCAATCCAAATTGGAATTGGAAGTAGTACTGGGGATATGTCATAGAGTTGACAGAGGCACAAATGCAAACACCTTCAAACAAGAATAATGATCTAAAGCAGAAAAAGAAACATCACAAACTCCAAAGCATAAAGCTGAAGAAGAAAAGTGGACATAAGATAAAATACAAGCATGCATATATGAATAAGAAGAAGATATATAAGAAAAGTGAACTCCATCTGCATGCTTTCATTGCTTCCAAACTCGTGCATAAATGCAGTGCAAGAGGCTTCACTTTTTCAGAACATGTGGAATCCGTGGCTGCTAATTTGGCCCAATTTCTAGGGTTTCCATGCTGATGCCCATACTACGGCTTCCTCTTTCCATGTTAAGTAAAGTCCTGTTTCATCTTGGTGTGGTTGTGCAAGCGCCCATCCGGCTCTGTACCTTTTTAGCAATGCCTTGACATCATCGACGACGTCGTCGCTGAATCCAACCGGTGAAAAAGCCTCCTTGAGCCTGTCAGACCATTGGCTCCCTTTCTCCCTTCTCTCACACTCTCCTGCAGTACCATCTTCCCCATCCTCACAAGCCAAAACCCTAACTATGCTCCTTGAACACTCCCTTTCCAGCATCAGCTTCTCATTGCTGGTTGGGGCAAAGCTCTCCTCAAGCATGTCGAAGTACAGTGTATAAAATCTTAGGCATTCTTCGAAGCACCTGACAAAGTCATATCGGGTGCTTGAAAAATCTGCTTCTTCCTCGACAACCGTCACGACTTTAGGCCCAAGGGATTGGAACATCTGGATCACGGCTCCTCTTTCCTCCACTGCAACTCTTCTCAAGGCCCCGATGCAATTCACCGCGACGGCTTCATCCTCAAGAACACCGAGTGCCTCCTTTGTGAGTTCGCCCAAGTGATTCAGCCCACTTATTACATTAAACTCGAAAGGCACACCCATTAACCTAGCAAACTTCTCCATTCTCTGGCTTATTTCCTTCATGACCGACCTTACAATATTAGCTGTAACCACGACAGTGAGCTTTAAGTGTGGTGTCTCATCGTTTCTCGTGGCCAAAGCTTCTAGCAAAGTTGGCCATTGAGTGCAAAGGGTATTGCTTATATCGATGATGTGAAGTTTGGCCTCCCCATCTAAGGCCTCCAAAATTGCACCATTCGCAGCTACATGACCAAAAGTAGTCCATGGACTTACCTCTTGGAACTTAAGGATTAACTTCCTAGCTGAATCAAAGGAGTGGCTCCTTTCCGCTACCGAAGTTAGGGTTCTGTAGCATCGTTGCCCCGATTCGGTGGCCTTGCAAAAGAGTGCTTGCAAGAAATAAGATGCTAGTTTCTGGTCACAGTCTCCATAAGGGGAAGCGAGCTCGTTTAACATCCACAGAAGGTGATGGATTTTGGTAGAGTCCTTGTCGGAGATGGCTCTAGCGCATTCCCTTAGGAGCCTTGAGGCCCATTTGTTACCCGTGGCACAAGGCTCGCCGGAGTCTGATGAACGGCTGGTTGATGTGTGGCTATTTTGGGGCTGAATACTGTTGGTGTTGTGCATGTCTACCGCTACTGACCATTGCTCTGCTGCTTGGACGGGAAGAGTTGTGCGCCCGCTCCTCCTTTTTGAGTGAAGAGAGTAATTATGTCCATCAATTGGGGAGGCCCCCTTTGACTCCTTAGGCACCTTTGCGGAACTCAATTTCATTTGAGTTCACAAATGGCCATGTACAAAAGCTATGTTTTAGAATGCCCTTATTATTATATTTGGGGGTCATTGTCCTACTATTTTATTACTATTTCTTTGCATTTGCTTGAGTATCATATAAAATATTAATATTTCAAGGTATGTATAATATCTTTTTGGAGCTAAGCTATAGTTATAATCAAGTATATGCTTCTTCTATGCAACTTCCACTACAAATTTTACTCTCCTCTCTCTTTATATATATACATAACAGAGTGAGTTATTAGTAATATAATGATGTCAAATATTCTTGTGGCTTCTAGTGTTTGTTTCTTATTGTTTGAATAAACTATACATGGCATGATTGGCAGAAATGCAAACATATATAACACACAACTATTTAGCTATGTCTAAAATTAATTTATACTGTTTTATAAGAACAAAACATTCAAAACAAGGTTCCAAGACCCACAGTGGGGTCAAACTAAGAAGGACAAGTATCCATTGGTTCTGAAAGAAAAAAAAATTGCATTAATTTAGATGAATTAATAAGCCATGGGGTCTTGTTTCCAGAGACAAGACTTTCTCCAATTCAAACAATCTGGTTTCTGGTTAGTCCATTATTTATCAAAACAATCCTGACAGAGTGGGGCATTGTAACGTTTTCTTCAACATAGAAATATACACATTATATATGTATGCATGTGTAGGATGACGAGCCCTATTTAGGTACCCCGGATGTCTAAATTGCCTATGACATGAGTAATTAAATAAGTTAATTGAAATAATTAGATTAAGATTTCTGACTAATTACAAATTTGACTATACGTAGAACTAGGTAGAAATGTTATATTTCGTTGGTAATTATTCTCCATTGATATGGTTTTTGGCCACTGTTACCCATTGTATCGTAGAATTTCAATGCATCCAGGGTTTGCATATGTATTGGATCAAGTTGATGTCATCCTTGTTATTAGCATTTGGGGGGGTTTGCGAGGGATAAAACATTTATTCTCAGAAATATAATATGTCCACGGAATCCCTATTTCCCCATAGGAATTGCACGATGCTAAAAGAAAGCTAACAAACAACATATTTTCTTTTTCTAATACGAACAAGGAGGTGATGATAAAGGCTATAGTATACTTGATGTAGACAAGATTATTGTCACTTTAATCTGATTAGATTTTACCTAATTTAGCTATGTCAACTTTACTACTAGCTAGTACAAGGACTCCCTCATGTAGATAAAGTTTTGTGCCTTCTCTTTTATAATGTACATCATAACTATTGTTTTACCAATACCAACACTCTTTTTATTATTATTTATAAAAATCATTTAATTGTTTGTTGTCACGATGAAAATATATGGTGATTTTTTGACATTTCATTGGTTAGAATTTCAGAATCGAGTTTGAAGTTTGGAACAGAAAAAGTGAGATTTATAAGGTGGGAAAAATGGCTACTATCTCATTATGTAGCTGAAAATTATATATATATATA